AAAGAGGTATTTGTATATATATTTGACTGAGTGGAAAACTCTCTGACAACTTTTTCTCAACGGGAACAATTTTTACCATGAAAAGATATTTTTGTTTGAAAAAAAAAAAAAGATTGCAAGAAGGAAGAGTGTTTGAGTTTTGCTATAAGAGAACAAACTGGATTACACACTTGCAAGCACCTGAAGGTTTCTGTGTTAGGGGCCTTGGAGATGGAGGAGATAAGAAAAGCCTAGCTTTTGCTACATAATTCTTTTTATAAAACGAAAAAAGGTTTCCTGTTGCCAACATTATTTTAAGAAAATCATAGTCTCAGCTCCCAGTTTTTGTATTTCCAGCAATTTCTTCAGAAAGAGGGAGGAATTGAATCTGGTTTGTATTACTCTCTAGTTTGGGAGGCACTTGGAACTTGGGAAGTTAAACGACCTGCTGAGAACAAAGAGAGATTTGTATGCACAAATAATTCCCACACTTTGCATTCATTATAAACAGATCAGTAGATATTCCTTATTTTATATACAACAGAAAAAGTTTTGTTCGGTTTCACTTCAGTTTGTTTGTTTGCTAGGTTGATTTTTTTTCCTTAACTATATTAAAAAGCCTAATTTTCCCGTTACTTTGGGTTTCTTGGGAGACTCCTTCTGCATCAATAGAAACTTAAGAGTTCTAAGTTAGTTTCTGGGTAAAAACGATAGTCTGTATCAGTCTGGAAGAGCTCTCAAGAGGACAGGAGACTTGCTATAATCTTACATTTCCCTCAAAGTGTTACTGAGGACTACCAGACGTGAACTGGTTGCTTGCGTGTCATTACATACACTCCTGCTAGAAAGAGTGGGAGGAAGAACCCATATTCGTGATACCTTAACGGTACTGACACACTGAAAGGCATTAGCTGAAAGGGCTGAGACACTACAGCAATAGGAACAGCCTAGGAAGCGGCACAGAATTACAGGAATATATAACCTCATCTTTCCAGAGCAGGCATTTGACCTAAACAGTGATGGCAGAAGTGCCTCTACTGCTTAAGTCAGGGGTTCAAAATCTCTTTTCATCTGCATACATCCTCAGCACTGGTTGCAGAAGCCATCCTTGGCAAGGGTGAAGTCTTTGCTCTGTGCCAGGCCATGCAATGGCTTGTGTACCAGCAGTGGTGTAACTACTACCATCTGAGAGTTCTGTGGCCTAGTTTTTTCAATACTTACTACCATTATTTAAGGACACTTACTAGAAATGCCTGTCAAGCCCTGACTAGCCAGAATGATAATGTACGGCATACTCTTTTAGCTCTTGTTCTGTCAAGACATCAAACAAAAATTCTCAGTCACCTCAGAAATGAACGTTGCATTTATTGTTCCTGAGCGTCTGTGCCTCTTCTGTGAAGGAAAGAAAATTATTTGCCACAGTCCCTTGAGACTGACTTTTTGCCATCTAGAAAAACACACACAAAGCAGAATTTTGCAGGAGAATCAAAATCCACTTGATGTTTTAAACAATTTTCACTCAATGGATTCACGCAAAATATACGAGTAAACCGCCACACGAATTTCAAATGTGCTTCTTGTCAAACCACTAGTTACATGAAGACTTTTTCTATTTTAATCTTTCAGATCACGGTCAGACTTCCCCAAGAAGTCCTGGCGAGGCACAAAGACTAGATATACTTGCTCTCTCTTCTCATCTCCTGGTAACACTGGTGGTTTGGCATTTGTGACTGGGAAAGCTAAACTTCCATTTGGGAAGTTCTTCTCATCAGAGGACCCTGCTGTACGGAATAGCTCTGCAAGGTTACGATGACTACTGCTCCACTGCCACATGACAGAGACACCAATATTTGAAAACAGACCTAGCACTAGGTGTTTATGTCCTGTATTTTGGTGCTCAAAAAACCCAAAGGCAGTAAGACTCAGAGGTGGCAAGCCTGCTTTTCATTTGTTTCTTGAAGCCCAGTTTTAGTGATGTCAACATGAGCATTTTAGTATTTCATGGCCTTGCTTTAATGACAACTTCAGTTTAGATAAAGACCTACAAAGCCACAGCGTCATGTTATAACTGACCCTAGGGAGATCTTTTGCTTAAGAACCCATCTGCAGTCCTTCGAGAAAAATGAAAGGAGAAGGGGTAATTACCCTCTGTGTCAGATAAAAACTGGAAGTAGGAAGAGGCTCTCTTTGTGAAACCTTGTGAAATTTGAGCCTGCAGAACTTTAGCTTCTATTTTTACTCTTAAAAGACATAGCTATCAGTAGTGATTTTTTTTCCCCAAAAGAAGTGAACTATTTCTTCAGCAGAAGGGTAACAGCTGACAGATGAAGATGATGGAGGTTAGAAAACTTCAGTGCAGCGGAAGAAAGTGCTGCATTCTTCAAAACCCACTTCTAGATAAGTCAAAGGCTTTAGAAGACTGGATTTAGTATTTTCTCTTCTTGCCATGAAAGGTGGAAAAGTAAATGTTATCATCAAGCAAAAGCTATATTCTTAAGCTAGAACTGTTTGATAAAAGATTGATATTGTGACAGCGTTTCTTGTTTAAAAATG